ATTGGCATTCATGTACTTAAATAGGGAACGTCTCAGGCCTTAGATGCCACTTGTCTGCCAGCGGTTTGGCCAAGGACACAGCGCCCGCATATAGTATTTAACCCCACTGCCATTTTCTCTTGCAGCCTGAATTCAAAGTGGATTGAGACTTATTTTCTGTCAACTAAGTACACAAAATTCTGCACAGTGACACATTTAAAATGTTGTGTTTATGGCTAAGCACATAAACCTTTAACCTCCACAGTCCGTGGCTGTCACATTTTGATTTAAGCAATATAGTTGCCTAAGTAAGATGAAAAATCATGAATAAATGTCTTATCAGCAGGAAATCACTGATAAATGTTAAAAATCGCCAAAAAGATTATTTTGCCAAGTACAGTTTTTGTAATAATTTGTCAATACTTCTAACGTTTATATGTCTTATTGATGAAAATCTCATGCATGGAAAGAATTTTGCTGCTTATGAAGGCACACTGTGATAATGGTAATTCTCATTGTTGGAGGAGTTGTTGCTGTCAAGCTGCGAACCACTATCATATTTTCTGGGAATGCTAAAACATGCAAAATTACTGGAAAGAAATACCACAGGCGATACAGCCCATCTCTGACACACATACATATATATACACTCCATTTAGCCACATATTTAGGCTATATTCCCCGGGAAGCAAAACGTATTGACAGATATTGAATGTGTATATCGCTAGCAGGAGGGAAAACGGCTCAAACCAGAAGATGGATGATGCATTTTGGACCAACTATAAATAACTGGATAGATGCGACAATAGGAGATTTACATGATGGAAAAAATTACTTACTGTTTAAACATAAAGATGGACATCTTCATATAACACTGGGAAAAATGGTGCAATATATCAAACCTCTGAGATGACCTGATTTTGTCAGGAGAATAAATTGAACTCGCTTAACTTTTAATCTATTTTTTTCTTCTTACCGAATCTTCTTCTGTGTCCAAATATCTCACGGTAATGTGTAAGATTATGTGAAGCCAAACTGCTCCATGCATTTCTATTTATTTTATTCTATTTTTACCTTCTGGATGTGTGTAGTTATGTTATGGCTCTTTTTTCATGACCAACCCTACCAAAGGAAATTAGATTATGAGTCAATCTAAATGAAAACAAGGTGGAGAGATTATATTATTGGCATAAGATTCTTTTTTCTTCCTTTTTATTGCTCTAAAAATAGCTGTTTTTACGTTCTTAATAAAAAAGTCCCCCAGCATAAGTCAGCAGCTAGTCTATCTCCCTGCTTTTGCAGGGGCCGCCTGCTCAACCTTGACTAATGTTTTGAGAAATCAAGAATCTAATGGAATTAAATAATGAAAAATATGAGTCCCTTGAGCACAACTGATGCAGGTACATTTGCCATTTTTTTCCTACCCAGCGCACTTCTGCTGAAGAAGCACTTTCATGGTCAGAGAAACAAATAGGTGTGTGGCTATTTGTTTCTCTGACCATGAAAGTGCCAAGGACCAAGGACAAAGCAGTTTGAGAGGGAGAGCAGCGTGCGAACACTTCTCTTGGTCTTTCTCAATGCCATCCACCAGATGAGCCACCGCATGTCTTTCCTTTATCTTTCCAGCCTTGAGTTTGAGCCACTTTAGTATTCTGGTGCTGATGGGTTGGTTTGGACCGAAGGGCACACGCAGCTGTGTAGCATGCCAATCATTTTCCAATAACGGCTGTCACTACACAATCTTGCGGTGCAGGCATGTGGATCTCAATTAATGGACCCCTGTGAAAAGTTCCCTACAGGAGCTAATAGCTCTCCGCGGGGAACTTAGAGGGACGGGGACACTGTAACAACCTGAAAGAGACAAATTTAAATCACTACACCAAAGAGCTCACCAAATTAGAATAAGTCAACTGAAAATCTGCACAGTGGTGAGCCGCTCTGATGTGGAATGAATACGATCAGATGTTAATATAGTGGCACTTCTAGAGCACGGGAGGATAATCAAGTCTATCATCTTTTTACCCAGTCTGGATTGCGAGGATTGCTTATTTTAATGATTCAAAATATTTAAGGTTTTATTTGATTGACTTATAAAGGTCCGCTAATTAAAAAATGTTTAAGTATTATGGATTATATTGTTTAGATCAGTGATAAGATTGTGTTGTATTTATTTAAAGACCCACTGACACAATAGTTAGGGGGGTCTTTAGCTTCTGTACTCGGACAGACTCCCCAGTGAAACAGTATATTTGACGGTGTACAGTTACAAGAGGGACTCCAATTAAATCCTTCACATTTGGTTAGCCAGCTAAAAAGTGGGCAGGCGAAGAGTTTAGCGTGATACAGAGCACAGCTGAGTCTGCCGCTGACCAGACTGTTGGCTTCACACACACGCCTCCCTCGGCACTGGATCAGGAGGGGGACGAGGGAGAAAATTATGAAAACAAATTGAAAAATAACATTAGACTTCCACATTGATTTGGACACGAAAACAAAGGTTTTGCCAACTGCTATACAAACACAGATCTCCTCCTATCTTTCTTCATATTGCTGTTAGCTATTACAACCCACAAATGGTGTGGTTTTATATGACTGGTGTGGCTATCGAGTGACTCAAAGTCTCATTTGATTGGATAAACTTTTGTAAATGCCCTCGGAGGGCAGGATGAGTCATTTAACATTTGAAACACAGGGTTTCTGTCAGAGTAAATACATTCTGATACTGATTAATTGACATTATGTTTGACCTTTAACAAGAAACAAATGATCAATTAACACAGGGATACAGAATCGACACTGGGAAAATGAATCTTTCATTTAATGTGGACTTTAAATCTGCCAGAAAATGGATAGAGGATAAATACTTTCTGAAGATATTAAAAAACTATAGGATATTAGTCACTACGAGGAGTTTGATGATTTAATATCATGGCTATAAATCTGAGCAAAATCATGTTATAATCATGAAAATGAACAAAATTTGGTCATGAAACCTGTTTTTTTCTCAGACATGTTCAAAGAGTCTGGTCACATGCATTGATACATACAGAAATATCTATGTATTATTTTCACGGTACTGCACAGCCCTCTTGTCACTGGTTGAGTTTTTTAGAAATATATAGTGTTCTACTGTAATGACAGCCTGCAGACAGGAGGTGAAATCAATCCTGCTATCCTCTGCTCTCACCTTCACTCTCTACGTCCACATCACACTGACATAATGGAGGAAAAGTGGAGGAAAAGTGTAGAAAAAAAGACAAACATTGACATGATGAAGCACAAACGGATTACCTGCTTGGCCTTCCTTCAACTTCGCCTGCATCCCCTTCAACACTATCTGCCAAAGCTGCCCACTCAAGACTACAGAGCATTTCCAAGCATAAACACAGAGATGAGAATTCAAAAATCAGCCTTGCGTGTCATCAGTACAAATGAACTTGCCTTCGTGGCGATGGAAAACGCCCGCCTCCGACTCTCCTTTGCTTTTTGTTGTCCTATGAATATATTCATATAATCTCATTGTGAGGGTGTTGTGAGCATTACTCACTGTCGGCCTGTATTACTCTGTGGTGATTTACATAACTCATTGGATATAATTTGTCCACAGGTCACTCCAAACACCGCAGCTCCACGCTGTAGACACAGACACACCCTTGCTTTTCATTCCATGCCCATAAATCGATCCAGTCTGAGATAATTGCTTTGGCAATTCCACTGTCATGGGTAGTAGAGTGTGTGCAAGTGCAAATCTATGCACTCTCTGTTTTTATTATGTGTGTGTGTCTTTCTGAAGTAATAGCATGGTGCAGTTGGGGAGTTGAAGTGAACCAGAGGCAGGGAGTAATCCCCTCCAGTAGTGCTTTGTTCCATCAGCAGGACAGAGTGGGATCTACTTTGCACTGACAGAAAGGGCTGGGGTCGCTCTGCATGGCTACCCGAGCTGTCGGCAAGGACAAGAAACAAGGCCTCTGCGCGGAAAACTGCTGATGCCAGCCTCTCTCAAGATTAGTAAATGCTGGAGATGAATAGATCATGTTTTCAGATGAAGAGAGAAAAACAGAGAGAGAGCGTTTGGAGAAATAAACAAAGTCAGAGTTCAAATCGGAACATCTGCGCAGATTCTATTCTCATACAACAGCTCCTCCAATCTCATGAAAACTCGTTAAGCTGATTTCGCTTCTCCCTCTGACCAACTGCAAGAGCTTTGAAACCCCAAATAAAGACCAGAAACAAACAACAAACAACTACAAAAGACTTGGTGGCAGTAGTCCCAGAAAAGAGAGAGATTTCAGACAAATCCTGCTGTGCTTTTCAGAGGCGGGATGTAGCTTCTCATCTGCTCCAGGGGGATTGGACTAAGGCAGAAGACCACGGTGTTTGGAGAAACGGGGAGAAGGGAGGAGATGAAGGTTTAGGATTCGCCCTTGCCGGAGCTTTAGTGTTCCATCATTAAATTGGGGCAAACACGATTTAATGCGATCAACAAAGACTGGAAGGGAAGAGCATAAATCACTGAGGGCAAGTATTGTATTAGCAACAAATAAGTGGCTGTGGGCTGCACGGGCTGGACCTTGAGATGTGGCTACAGAGGCTTGGCTTGTGTACTGAAGCAAAAAAAAAAAAAGGAAAAAAAGGGGAACAATCTTTCAAGACTTTGCAGAATGACTGCACCAGTGCTTTCAAACTTTATATAATTGGTTCCTAAATGTAAATGCTTCAGCCAAAAGCACTGGACCAAAAGCTGTATAGACGGTGCTTTCTCACCAGTGTCATTCCCTGTCAACTAACATTTATAGGAAGTGAGTGACGAGTCAAAAACAACAAGGGCTGTCAAAAAATAACCCTGAAGATCCCTGTCCAAATTATTTCTCAGTACGAATACACTTGCCCACTCTCACAATAAAATGATTCAAGTCTGCTCCTGTGTGCCAAATTTCCATAAAGATTGAAAGCTTATTTTGGAGCAATTAAGATCTATTCCTAGTTGTGGCGTTGCCAGATTGCTGCCTTTGCCAAATTACCTGTTCTCATTTCGCTGCGTGTATCTTGGCTGGGGGTCAGCGTCTCCATCATTAACATCATAGCTGGCTGCAGGGTCCTAGGAACAACATGAAAAGTTAGGACTCCAGTCATACCGTTTTATTTGTTCTTATTTAACTTTAACTTGTTTTCATGTTTTCATTTTTCTCTGACAATCTGTGGAGGTGCGGAGGCTGCACAATTATGACCAAAAGGATAAACACTATTATTTCAATAATTATTAATATCACGATTTCTTCTGAAGATTATTTACTGATTTGGGGGGAAAATATTTTTACTGCACTTTCACATTTAAATAAACAGAACACTGTTTTTACCTCCATGTCGTGCCACATTCCTACTCAAGTACAAATATTTGCATCAAATTTACACTGGTTCTTATTCACAGTTCACCTCCTACGAGCAAAATATAAATCAGCTATAAATGTATATGCATTTTTTACTCAAAATTAAATAAACAAAGCACTGCTTACATTCCTGCTAATTAAAAAATCTTTGCATAATAAGACTCAAAGGTCCAGTGTGTAGGATTTTAGGGGACACACTGGCAGGAATTGAATTTAATATATGTATGTTCTCTTTAGTGTATAATCACCTGAGAATAAGAATAGTTGTGTTTTCATTATCTTAGTATGAGCTGTTTATATCTACATGTCTCTCTGGAGACTACCATGCTGCACCGCTACAGAATGGACAAACCGAACACTGACTCTAGATAGATAAACTGCTTTATTCAGTGTTTTTACCACTTAAAACCACTGGCTCCATTTTATTTGGAGATGAAAAAAACAACCTGTGCAGATAATTCTGCTCCTGCTAAAAAACCTGAACATCTGGATCTTAATTTATTGGAGAGAAAGGGTGAGCACAGATCAGGAGGTGCTAAGCTAGCTGCCTATCTCTGACATGCCAAACAGCGTTCGAGAAACATTGATTTTTAATGAGAAACTGTTTTATTCAGTGTTTTTACCAGTTTCAGTCACGTGGTCTGTTTGTTTTGGAGAGGAAGAGACCTCGGTGGATAATTTGGCTCCTGGTAAAAACCTCCTGGATGATGAACACTGAAGGAATTCTAACAAGGAATCTTACACACTGGATCTTTAACATAAGGTTCTTCTTCACCTGAATTCAATGCATCTGCTAGTAGCAAAATACGAATAATCTTGTAACCAAAATAAAGGCTAACTTAAAATAAATAAGACATCTTCCATTCCATCTAAATACTGCAGTCAATCATGTTAATTTAATTGTGGGAAGCCAAAATTGCATTTGAGATTAACATTGGATTAAGCCTTAAGAGGTGTGTCAACTGCTTTATACTTGTTTGTATCTTTGACTTACATAATTGCTGATGAGGTCAGGGTGGTCTTTCTCAATGCCGTCATCCAGGATAGTCACCACTACACCTCTTCCTGTGTAGCCTTGAGCCCATGCTGTTTCAGTATTCAGGTCTTGATGCATTGGGTTGGACTGCAAAAGACACAAGGGTTTTGTTCAGCTGTCAATCTGCTGTGACTGACACGTCCCAGACAGACCGACAGAAAAGGTCTATGGGTGTCAGGATGGCTTAAATCATCCCCAGAGACCTTTTATACTTGCTGCAGAATGTTATATTAAAAACACAAATGCTCACTACAAAAATAAACACCAACACATAAAATAGGCAGATCAGAGGTGGTTCATGGACACTTAAAATCCAATTTTAATGCATCACCCCGACACGCCTGCCTCAGGCTGAGCTGCCCAGTGTGAGCATCCTCCTGTAGTTAAGCTGTCAGAAAAAAGACTGACAACCTGTTGCAGGTCAGAAATCTTGGTAAGAGCATTTGCCTCTCCCACAGAAGAAATAGCAGTCTGCAAGTGTTGAGAGGAGGGGGTGGGAGACAAACAGGGGGGATTTGGAGTGGTAAAGTGTGATTTGGATGGATAACAGAAAAATTTGTATGGTGAGAAGAAGTATGAGCAGAAGTGAGCGCTGGAGGTGAAGGAGATGGTTATAGATAAACACGAGTAGGAATGGAAAAGACATCACAGACGATCTTCTTCGCCCCCTCCTCTGTTTCCTGCTGATTTTCCTCCACAGGGTACGACTCCTGCATGTGCACTTCTGTGAGGACGCCTGGATGCTTAGGTAAGTAAATTCTTGGATGTAGGCTTTGAACTGGCATCGACACCATTCAGTACACATTTTAAGTGAATGTTTGCTACAAACTGCACCAGAATAAACCAACACAAAAGCCCTCTAAATACATTAAACTGGTTGTACTACCAAGACAAAACTTCAGCACTGGTGGCATATGCCTTAAGCTGAACCGCCTTTGTTTGGTTTTTAAACTATGCAGAATACTTTATATAGGAGGGTAAAAAAAAAAAAGGTTTAAGTCTTGAGAAGATTGGAGGTCTAATGCTGAATGGCAGAGGTGGTTTCACAACTTCTATTCACTGGTGATTAATGTCTGGGATAGTCACTGTTGTCATTAATCCGTTGCAGTGACACAGGTTTTGTGCATATAAAGAAGGAAAAAGGGGAGATTAAGGCAAATTGAAGCATCCCCGATGAAAAGCTGTGAATAACGAAACAGACACAGAGTCAGGGCCATTTGCTATCATTGTTTCACAGGTGATACAGTTCAGCAGTCGATCTCTCCTGACATTTCATTTTCCATTCAACCCAGCGTCTTGGGATGCATTGTATCACACCTTTGACTGTGGAAACCTTGTGTTGGTGGTGAAGATGATGATGTGACTAAATCCATCAGGGTTAGTCCAAAAGACAGCATTCAATTTATGCTTATCTGACTGACCATGAGGGAATTAATAACTCCTGCCACTGTGATAATGAATACATCTTTAAATCAGGTATCCTTACAAGCGTCTGCAGAGCTGAGTGCTGTGCTGTGTCAGACGGGGCTGAATGAGGAGGCCTTCAACGTTTAATTAGAAATAATTGCAGAGTAGAAACTGAAAAATGTCCAAGACAGCAATTTGCTAAGAACACATATGAATGCAGAAGACAGTTTTCTTCCAGGCTTCAAAATCTTAAAAGGCATTCTGAATTGAATATGAAAAAAAAAAAAAAAAATCCATATATATTCTTCTGGCTGTGCGCCTACCTACTAATTTATTTGTTGGTTATGTCACACAGATGCAACTTTAAAATGCTACTGCAAAGTACACAGTGTGTGCTACTTTATGAATAATACACATATAATGAATGTCTGAACTTTTCAATTTCATTTTTGCATATAATGACAGACTCATTAAGTTGAGGCTGTAAAGATAAGAGACAATCACACACCAGGTACCACTGCTTGGGGAAATCAGGGTCGGTTGGGTCTTCGTAGATATCCCTCTTCTTCCTTTTTTTCACCACTTGCTGCTCCGCCCACAGGACCTGGGGCACCCACACACACAAAAACACACACAGAGAAAATTCATAGTTTACCAAGTTATCTTCACATGCTATTGTGTCGTTATGAATGTTCTAATTTCAGAAACTGTTGCAATGTCCCACAGACAGTGGACATGAAAAAAACAAGGCCCCAGCTGTGTTCCAAAACCAATAACTAGAGAGAGAGGCAGAGATGTGAAGCAAATCTAATTTATTTCATCCCTGAGATGCTGAAGGAAAGTGGCTGCTGTACAGTGTGCCAGAGAGAAAGCGCCTTTGAAGTCCTGGAGGCTGCTGGGGTATGCACAGGATTGGTCGGGGTGGGTGACAGTAAATGCTAATACCACAAATAGTAAATGTCATTTTATAGTTTGGTTTCTGAAGTTGAAAAAAAAAAAAAAAAAGACACTTGCTTCCAAACACGCTTGCCAAAAGGCGCACAATAGCAAATCATTTAATGTCTGTCCACTCGCCAGTTAATGTGACTGGTGCACTCAGCATTTTTCTGTTCTTCTGTCAGGCTTATATCTGCGTATTTTTTGCTCCGTGAACATGATTGACAGTAGTGAGGATGATTAAAGACACCCGTAGCATTTGATATTTGTTCAGATTTGTCCAGACTGCCAAATATATATTTGGCACATCTCACATTGTGTATTGATAACTGAGCATTTCATATCCAAGCTGTGAGACAAAATCTGATAAAGGCTGGCACTTCGTAACTTTAATCAATCAAAAATATTCCCACTTCTAAAAAAAACAAAAGCCTAGTCAGGTGATAAGAACGTATCGCAAAGAATAGGAAGATGTTGGCCAATCAGAAGCCTGGAGCAGTGACCTTTGTGTTGCATTCTGACGCCTCTGTTCCTCAATATAGTGGAGGAGTAACTGTACATTTATGTGTAAAGTCCTGTTGGCAAGATTAGAGCCAGCACTATTTCTGTCACTTCAGCCACTGCATGAAATGTCGCCTCATTTGTGAGGCCTCACAAAGGAGATAATTGCACATACACTGATTCCTCAAACCAAGAACGCAGTTTTTTATTTGTTGACACGTCAATACTGAAAACAGTTTCTGAAAATCTTCACACTGGAGTTTAACAAAAGATCTATTTTCAGTGACCTAAAAACAGTTTGCAGGAGGACAAAAGGCCACAATGCAAAGAAGAATGTGAAGTTTGAAAGCACATAAAACACTGCTTTCACTGCTTTGTTTGAATATGGAAGACACAACCAGGCAGTGACTCTCATTACATTCTCACAGTTAAAGCATTATTCCACCTAATGTCCCAGATAAGCATCTTAACAATGCTTTCATGTCTGTCTTTAATACAATGATTTTTACATAAACAAATTAGACATGTAATAGACAGAACCATCTGGTGTGAAGGATCTGTTGCATTGCTTCGACAAACATTACACTGTATTCTAATTAAACGAAAGGCATTGAGCTATTCAAATAATATTTTAACACCAACTTAGAGTGTTCCTAATGCCGCAGAGGGAACGTGCGTAGATGGAGTGAAACTAAAGAAGAGACGCTTAACTTCTGAAGCAGTTTAAGCAGATGCTGTTGTGCATTATTATTGTCAGTGATGAATGCATCCTTTGCTGAATTTTCGCTGAAGGTGATGAAGCTTAAACTGAATCCACTTTTGTGTCAAGAGCACTCAAGTGAAGCATGTCTAAACTTGTGTATTCCCTGCACAATGCCTGGCAAACTCTGAAGGACCAACCTCTTTTTCTGAGTATTTAAGTTCCTTTCAATCCCTTTTTCCTCCTTTTTGCTTTGTTGCTGTCAGAGTTGTTTCTAGGAGTGAACGCTTGATTTCTTGATTACATGCTCTTACAGTATAGAGCACGTGGTCTGAATGAGAACGGGTTCTTTGCAGCTACTGAGGGCAGTGAAGCTCCTAACCTAGTTGAATACTTTGCCTCAGAGAATGAAGCCATTAACCTTATTCGAGCGACCCCAGACTAATTAACATTTATCTCATTTCATTACATTTATAACTGCACACGACTGACCTCGTTGCACTGCTGCCCACTGCACAGCACATTATTATCAGAGCGAAATTACAACCGATAGATGAATCAGATGATTATCTGGATAAGGCCATTTACTGTAGAATATAGTGTTTCATTTATACAGCCAATTAATGCATATGATTGAGAATTCGCACATTCAACTCACAACCTACTTATATAACATCGCCTTAGGAAAACTGACATTCAGTGTCATAAACCTAATGTAAGCTGATCTTTTTACTTGTGGAATATTTTAAGTATATGTGCGAAAACCCACTCTTGAGAAAAACAAGGTCTGATCGATAACTTCCAGAAGACCAAGCCAGTGATGGAGAACTAATGAGTGCACGGAGATATACAGTACAAGCACCACCCTGAGGTCTGGGACACATATTAGACAAACACAACCACACAAAGAAGCAATCACGAGACAAGAAGAAGGTCTCAACGTGGCCTAGGTCTGTGATCTGCTTGAGCAACACACTATTTGTTCCATCCCTCGCACAGTGTCCTGAGGGCTTTCCTGTCTGACGACTAAGGAAAAGCTGTGCTGGTATTGTCTGTAATGCAGGGAGACAGCCTAAGCTTTGATCTATAGATCTGTGTTTCCACAGTTTATGGAGGAGGAAGATATATAACAATAACAACAACTATTACCATACTACACCATTTTAAAAGTGGTTCTAAGTCAAGTGGATGGCAGAGTAATGAAATGTAAATGGACCGACCACTTGAAGTGCTTTTACACTACATGTCACATTCACCCATTCAGACACTGGCGGCCAAGGCTACCATACAAGGTGACACTTGCTACTCAGTTAAACATACACACACAAGTTTCTAGCAACCCTATTACACTCATTTTCAGAATTTCCATGCTGTTTTTTTCCTATTTTTTACAGCTGTGCCTATGTGGCTTATAGGCAACAGTAAGTTAAATTAAACCAAACACATCCCAGCTTAAAGTATTAAAGTTAAATATAGTATTAACTTTTGAAATAAAACAAAAGGTATAAATTAGAAAAAAGGAATGTTGGACAAAAAAAAACTAAAGAATACAAGTAAAAGAAAAGGTAAAAGGTTAGGGAGAAGATATGTATGTACTGTAAAATATATAGGCGGATTTTGATCTATGTTAGCAGGCAACAGCTGGGCGCCAACTTTTAATAAATATTTCTTTTGGGAGTCTCAAGGAGTACACTATCTGTTCCATCTGGTAAATTTCCCATACCTTTTCAGTCCACATATTATATGTCGGGGGTCAGGTTGTAGCCACTTGATTGTAATGCTTTTAAGTGCTGCTGTTGTCAACATTTGCAGAAGGTATTTCTTTGCTTTTAGACCTAATATTGCTGTCCTTGAATCTTTTGTGAAATTTTGGAGAAATATTTTTCTAAGTGCATCAGAAAGCTCTTCCCAAAATGTACTTAACTTAGTGCATGTCCAAAATATGTTGGTATGGTTAACAATGTGTGTACCACAGTTTCTCCGACATTTATTTGAGTATGTTGAGCCCATTTTAGCCACTATTTCTGGTCCCCGAAAAAAATCTCATTGCCCACCTTCCATCTTAAGTCCCTTCAAGTATCTGAATAGATTACTATGTGTGCACCAGTACATACTCCCTCCCATTTGTCCTGTGGTATGTCTGTATGCATTTCAGTTTCCCATCTCCATTTTATATGTAATATACTGTTAAGAGTCATGCTTGAAAATATCGGATAAAAATGACCTACAACTTTTTTGCCCCCATTTCCTATTTGTACTTTTATCAAAAACTCCTCAATTGGGGTTGGCTCCAAAACTTAATTCCACTCTTGATGTTTGTTAGAAAATGTCTTAATTGTAAATATCTAAAGAAGTCTGTTTTAGGAAGCATATATTCCTCCCTTAACTGTACAAATGACTTGAGGCTGCCATCATTACAGAGTTGGGGTAAATTAGTGAGTCTGTCCATTTTCTAAACTGTGCATCTATAAGGGAAGGGGTTAAGTCATTTACACATCCAATGTTGATTAGCTCTGATAATTGCTGTGGGCAATCCTAATAACAGTTTTATTATCCTCCAAATTTTAATTGTGGCTCTGGTCCATTCATCCATTTGAGTTTCCCTTAGGGGGACATCTACAGTAGGAAAGGCAAAGTCTGTAGGGGCCATACACAGACGTTTTTTTCTAAATTGAGCCAAACCGCTAATCTTCTGATAAGTGGACTGATAAGTGGATAACCTGCTCTACCTGCAGAGCCAAAGCCACTCAGGAGGTAGAGTGGCCACAGACCCCCAGAGACCACACCACAACAATAACAACAACAGTGACGAACAGTATTGTTGGGACACATTCAGAGCAATTTGCTGACCAATAAAAACTGACAGCCAATCAAAATCTATACGAATTCAAAGGGCGTCACAGCTGGAGCACCACTGTTTACTGAAGGTTATTGTTTATTAGCATGGATGCTCACATCTTTATCATTATAATTATCGTTATAGGTATGGACAGCTCTTAAATCTGGTGATATTAATTACTTTGTTATTAACAATAAATCCCATGAAATAACCAAATCCAACATTGAACTTATCCTACAGACAGTGCTTTCAAAGTCAAATATAGCTTATTCCTCTATGCCATAAATCTCCATCCTTGTCCAGAGACTATTAAAAAACCATCAGTGAGCCATACATTATGATAAACGTGGGCACTGTGGTTTATTTGATCCCACATACACTTTTCTTATATCATAAATCAGTATTCCCCAAACAACGGCTCAGATTTTTTTTTTTTTTTTGCAAATTACTGAATAATTTCATTTCTCAAGGTCTCTACAAATATTCAAACAAAACAATCTAAGAGAGATGAATCACTCTTTCAGAGTTCAGCTGGTCACAACCCATGGATGTATGCAACTGTCTTAAACACTCACTAGTGCAGAAAATCTGCTGCTGAAAATAGTCTCCAACACATACATTATTTCCT